TTTACACAATGTAACCCGCTTACAATGCAACCTAATAATGGAGGCATTTCCAACTACATTCTTTTAACAATTTCACCTATTTTTACTTGTGATATTGCCATATTTATTTCTCCACTAAAATAATATATAGGGTTTGGGTTAGGGGTTAGGGTTTCTGTGAACGTGAGGGACTCGATGTTGTTGCAATACAGAATAACATTTAACTTAAATGCTTCGTCTAATAAGCGATGCAAATAATAAAACCTTAGCAAGTTTCACGTGATTTGATCGCTTTTGTTTTGTTTTTAAAATTATCCAAGCGACATCAAACACCGTACCGACAAGTGTAGATCTGATTCGTGAGCGGATATGTTTGCATTGCTCTACTATAATTGTGAAAAATAAAATAAACGATTTGACTTTCAAACGCAAAGCTCATTCAACGTAATGTGTAGGTTTTGACTGAATCGCAAAATTGGATGAGATCTCGGACCCAATCATGCCGTCGGCAGCTATGTCGTAATCAATAAATCGAACGATTCATTCCCGTTTACATTGCAAATCATATTAAATGTTTAAATTTGAGCAAATCATCGGATATACATTTCAGAATATCGATGTTCTAAGCTGGTGATATTTGTTTGAATCCTTATTGTTTCAAAATATCGTAAGCACAGTTTAGACCCATTTTCGACGAGGGTTTCTCTTCCCGTGTTCAACGGCATCCGATTGGTCGATTAAAATACGCAATGACAATTCACCCAATGAAATGACGTGTTACATAAGATCACAGTTCATCACTTTGTAGCTTTTTCACGTTCTCTGCACTCGCAGAAAATGATGTAAACTTCAAACTTGGAACGCATGCTTGAAGCATCTTATTTACAAAGATGTTTTAAAAATCAAAGCAATGAAAAGATTAAGTAAATTTGTACTAACATGACATTCTTTACGACTTAATTCGGAGCAGACTGAACACTAGCAGCTGACAACTACATGTCGATCTAGGCTTATTTGGTCACGTACGATCGGAGAGCACCGCCGGAATTCAGGAAGTATTTTGGTTGCACAATTAAATGAAATAATTAAATAAAAAGCGGTTACTTCAATTATAATAAAGGAAGTCGCGCTAGTTACATTTATTTATTTATTACACTATCTTCTTTGTAATACCATATCACTTGGACATTAAAATGCGGTAATTTCCGGGTTTTGACACCTGAAATGGTCAGAAAAACATGTTTCCTCTTAAAGTCATGTTCCGGGTAATATCACATTTTCAGCTGACACCTCTGAAGTGATAATAAGCGAAATCTACTGTATTAACAATTTCACCTATTTTTACTTTTGATATTGTCATATTTATTTCTCCACTAAAATAATATATACATGTCCTATAAATGTCTACAAATCTATACCACACCGACCTATATCCTCAAACTCATGTAACATCCACAAAGCTGTTATGTCAACACACCAATGTTATGTCAAGTTACATGTACCGATGCGAGTCTACAAACTGATGTCAGAGACACCAGGACAAGCCATCAATACTGGCTGTGAGACGTTGTCTATGAAACCCTTCACACAGCAGTGGAACAGAGGGAGGTACCACAGTGATAGGGAGGGGGTAGTCCGAGTAGAATTCCAGATCTACAAGGCACTCCACTCATTGGGGTTGACAAGCAAACAAGTAACACTGAATTCCTAGTATCCCTCCCTACATTGTAGATTAATGGCACAAGTGGGAAACCATACAACTGTTGAATTATATTGGCCAGGAGAAAAGTCTATTGTGTTGTGTGGCTGATCATGTTTATAATACATCATGGTCCAGGAGGCTGGCAAGGGGCCAAACCCGTTAGTCATAGAGATGTATATCTACTCCCTCCTACCCTCCACAGACTATCCTCCACACATAACTTACACACAAATAACACCCCC